CTCCCGGCTGCACCCCTGTCCCGGTGCGCCCCGGTGAGTGCATCCCCCCCAGCCCAGTACGTCCCAGTGAGCGCCCACCCGTCTGCCCTGGGACCAGTACCGCCCAGAGAGCGCTCTCCTGGCTGCAACCCTGGACCAGTACACCCCAGCAAGCACCCTCCCATCCATGCCCACAGACCAGTGAGCACCCTCCTAGCTGTGCCCCCAGACCAGTACACCCTAGTAAGTGCAGCCCCAGCCCTGCCCACCTCGCACAGGCAGGTGGGTGCCCTCCCCCCCTGCCAGGGTGCCACGCTGGGGGGCTGCCCAGCCCCACTCATGCTGCCCTTCTTTTGCAGAGAGGGCCCGGCTGCGGAGCTGGCGAAGACGCACCGGGAGTGAGGAGCGCCGGGAGCCACCGGTCACTGCCAGCATCATTAAAGCACTGTGCCCCACCTGCCGCCTCTTGCTTTGGCACCCGTCAGCAGAGGGGAGACCAGAAGAGTGGGGCAGGGGCATTTATTGGGGCTGGGGCGCTGTGCCTGTGGTGGGCGCTGGCCTCACTTGGCCGTGTAGTACTGGGTGGGCACGAAGGGCATCTTGGTGACGAGGGCTGGGTGCTGCTTCTTCCGTACCTCGACGGTAAGTGCAGTGCCGGCCCGGCTGTGCGCTGCCTCCACGTAGCCCATGGCGATGTTCTTGCCCAGGGAGGGTGAGGGGCAGCCGCTGGTCACTGTGCCTGGGGATGTGAGGACACGGGGAGGTGAGTGGGGGCCGGGGCAGCCGGGCCCCCCCCCCTGCCGTAGGCGCAGCTCAGGGCCATGCCCGTGCCAGCCCAGGGCCATGCCCATGCCAGCCCCGCTGCCCCCACCTACCCACAGGTGTGCCTTCGGGGCCCAGGATGGCCGTGTGGGGCCGGATGGGGGGTCCCACCGATGTCAGCCCCACGCGCTTGCGCTTCGGCTTCTCTTTCACTTGCGCCATGATAATGGCCGCGCCGGGGAAGTCCATGGCTGTGCGCCGGCGCTTCCCTGCAGGGCAGAGACAGGTGAAGGTCAGCGATGCCCACCTGGTCCCCCTATGCCCCGTTGGGGACACCTCACCCTTCTGCCTGCCCTGAGGACGAGGCGGGGGCGGACGTGGCCCTGACCTACCCAAGGTCCACAGCAGCCCGGCCTCAACAGGTGTGGTGGTCTCATCGATGTCATTGCCGTAGAGGCAGAGTCCAGCCTCCAGGCGCAGGCTGTCCCTGGCTGCCAGCCCTGCCGGCCACACCTCGGGGACACCCAGCAGCTGCTCGGCCAGCTCTACCGCCCGCCCTTTGGGCACCGAGATCTGCAGGGGGACACCGGCAGGGTCAGCAGGGCATGGCCTTCCCCTCCCTTGGTACCGTGGTGGGGCAGGGTGCTGGCGCAGCTCCCGGGGTACCTCCACGCCGTCCTCGCCGGTGTAGCCACAGCGCGTGACCCGGCAGCCTGGCACACCAAAGACCGTTGTAGTGATGCTGTTCATGAAGGAGAGCTTGGCCAGGTCATCGGGCAGCCCTGCCTGCAGCACCCGTGCCATGGAGGGACCTGGGGAGGCAGGTGGCTCTGGGGGACAGCAGTGTCCGGGGAAGGGGGGGATGCGGGGAGGGCACTGACATCCATTGGGCAAGGACCCGGAGGAGGGCATGGTCCGGCACCCGCTGAGGGCGAGACCCCCGCACGGTGGTGCTGGGTGCCAGCCCGTGCGGAGCCCCCGCTACCTTGCAGAGCCAGCAGCGCGTTGTCAGACACCTCCAGGTGGACGTCACCGCCAGCAGCCCGCAGCTCCGCCGCTCTGCCCTGCCAGGGTGACAGTGGGCCGCTAGCACAGGGGCCAGGCTGGTGCCAGCCCTGCACGTGACCGTGGCCACCTTGCCCCGCACAGCCACAGACGTCACCAAAAGGTGGGAGGACTCATTCCCACCGTGCATCCCCACCTCCCGCGGGGCTCGGACAGCCCCGTACCCTCATGATGGCCAAGTCCTTGTCGGCGCAGCCGGCGTTGGACACCACATAGAGGAGATCTTCTGACGTGTTGGTGACGATGAGGTCGTCCACGATGCCGCCCCTCTCGTTGGTGAGCAGTGTCAGGGTGCCCTGCGGGACATAGCCCTCGGGAGCGTGGGCAGGCTGCCCGTCCCTTCCCGCCCCCCTGAGACATCCCCGGGGACCTCTGACCCCGCCGGACACCTGGTGCCACCCCCGGTGCTCTGTACCTGTCCCGGCTTCAGCTCGGCGATGTCCCCCACCACCAGGCTCTCCATGAACCTGATGCGGTCCCGGCCGTACACCCGGGTCTGGAAGGGGCCGGGGGGTGCGTGTGAGGCGCCGTGGGTGCCCCCCACGTCCCCGGCTCCCCCCCCCCCACCCCAGCTACCTGCGGCATGTGGGAGACGTCGAAGAGGGAGCAGCAGCGGCGGGGGGGCGGGGGGGGCGGGGGGGGGGGCCGGCCCCGG